TTCCTGCAAGTAATGGTTAACTCTTTTCAGTGTCTTGCTGGCTGCATTTGAGGCAGGGCAGATCAGTGTGGCTGAACTGCAGGGATTTCAGAGACTTCTCCAAAGAGTCGGTCTTTTTTGAGAAGAGGCTGAAGGAAGGTTAGAAATATTCCTAAAATTAATGTGGTAAGAAATTATGAAGAGGAAAACAGTCTTTCAAGCTTCTCACCCAGAACTGGAAGGAGACTTGGGGTTCATTGGGGATCTTGGTGACATAATCCCATTCAGAAATTGAGCTGACTCCTTCACTAAGCAGGAAGCTTACCTGCTCTGTCCCTGTTGAAGGCTGCTCTGGGACTTCTCCCTTATTTCAATGCCTTCTTCTTCTAACATCCAGTCTACATGATTTCACAGCCAATTTCTACCCTTTGGCTTTGTGACAACTTTGTTCTTGAGCTTAAAGAGCCTTTTTCCCTTTTTGGCACATAACCCCCTATTACAGGGAAGACTATCATATCGTTTCTCAGTTACTACTGTAAATTCAAACCTCACCTGGGACTGAGCAGAAAGTTACTCTCTGGTGTTGACCATGAGGCTAGAAAGTGATGAGTCCCTCAGGGCTTTCGGCATCCCTACTGTAGGACACAATTGCCACCTACTGGCAGCTTTCAGGAAGCTTGAGCTGGTGGGAAGTGGTGTGTAGATGGTGACAAATTGTTATCTCACTCCACTCACGCGCTTTCCATTATGATTGAGGGATACTGGACTTGAAGGGAGAAACTCAACCTGGGGCTGCCAACTCATGTGTCTCCATCTCCTTTTCCACTACTCTCCCCAGCAGTAGTAGTTATTTTGCTGCCTTCAGAAATGAGGAGCAGCTCAGACTTGTTTTATTCATCAACGATTTTTCAATAGGCACAAAAAGAGGAGCAACCAGCAGAGCACGGAGAGGTTTTCTTCTCAGTTCACAAGCATCCTTACCTGTGCCACTTTGCTGCTTTGCGCCGAAGGCTTACTATTGGTTTTAGGCCATGCAGCTAAAAACCCATAAGGATTATTTTTACATTGATTTTTTTCCTCCCCCTGGAAAAATACAGCAGTGGAGGCATTTTCACAGCTGGTCCTACTAGGAAAGAAAGGTGAGATTAATCTTGTAACTAATTCCAAGTTAATTTCCAGTTCTCTAGTCGCCTAGAGAAGGCAACTTGGCTCCTTTGAAGTCATGGAGTGAAAGCAGCCTTCATCTCATGCCCCTTGGTTAGCCTGAGATGGAGCCCCATAGACTCACTCTAGACACTAAGTTTTAGACAACGAAAGTAGGGGAAGAAGATCCTTATTCTGCGCCTTCAGCTTGGGCTAAGCCTCCTAACCTCAGAGCCACATCTCAGCAAGATGACAAAGGTCATTGAGTCCTTTGGTGAGAGGCTTGAGAGAAAGAGCTGCTGGAAGGGCAGAAATGAAAGAGCAAGACACCACGGGGTTTGCTGCCCAAGGCCCAGGACAGCTTTGCTCATTGGAGTGCCACAGAGAGCATGGGATGGACAAAAGGTCATTTTCCAAAATGACTCAGAAATAGTTGAGAAAGGGAGTGTCAGGACTTTGTGGGCCATATCCATGTGCACAGGACAAGGTTTAAATTGCAGCGTGGAGAGGCCTGGTTAGGCAGAGATGGTAGAGAAGAACATATTGTAGAGGGAAGCTTAGCAGCTCTGCTGTGGATTTTTAAAAACAGGTTAGACAGACATCTGTCAGGAAGTTTGGATCCAGCTGGTCCTGCTTTGAGATAGGGCAATGGTCTCCAGGTTTCTTTCATGTCTACTTTCTCATAATTTGTGTATGGATATGGCTTTGGTGATATTTTTGCAAATATGAGCTTGACTTGAAACTCTGAATCTTAACTGAGGAGCATCTGAAATATGAATTAAGGCTTGAATCCATGTTGTGCATGAGCAGGGCTGGGTATGGACTGATTTAGATAATTTAGAACATTTGTTCCAGTTTTGCTCCAGGCTCCACCCTGCAAGCATCTTTGACTTGAACATCATTCTTCATCCAGCTTTTGAAATAATCTTGATTTTTCTGGCCTCCATACTCCATCCAAGCTGCCAAAGCGTCTCAGCCACATCTCACTGTTCCCATAAACCTTCATGTGCTTCTCCTCCAGACATACACTGGTTCAATACTGGTGGCAGTAAACCCCTACCAGCTCCTACCCATCTACTCACCTGAGCAGATACGCCTGTACACCAACAAAAAGATTGGTGAGATGCCACCACACATCTTCGCAATTGCTGACAACTGCTACTTCAACATGCAGCGCAACAACAAGGACCAATGTTGTATCATAAGGTGAGTCCATGAATTTCCAAATGGACCATATTCTGAAAATGGATGCAAAGCACCTGCAGCATGGCTGATAGGGAACAAGTTATAAAATAGAATCAAATTTGAATCACCTATTAGATCTTCCATTCACATATTCCCACTATAGAGGTGGTCTCAGTTTGCAGCCACTGTTCCTAGCAAAGATGCTTTATTGATCCTTTGGTACTTACCATACAACCCAATAGATCTCCTATTCATCTTTAACCTCCCCTCTTAAATTTAAACTCAATACTCCTACAGACATCAAAGGTGCAGAGATCTATACATGCTGCACACGGAAGGGCCAAGGACAAACTTGAGCACCAGACCTGTTGTTGTCCACACTGCTGAACTGGTGTCTCCTTGCATGGCTCTGCTCTGGCCTGGTCAACCTTTGGGCACCAAGAAATGCCTGGTCACGGTTACGGGTATAGTTCACTCCAATCTGTCCCAAGTGGTGATACGAACCAGATTTGGTTCCCGCAGCCCTCCAAAGCTATCCTATCAAGTTTTGAACCTACAGACAGTCTTTGTGCTTTCAGGGCACCACGTCTCTCCAAGGCACGCCTACCCTAAGTTTTGTTGCCTAAAAACATAACTCTGGAGCATCCCATGCACAGTATTTGAGATACACGGGACTGAAAAGGCCGTGCAGTAATGATTACCTTGCAGGGCTGAAAAAGCATCATATGGGGCCTAGACCAGAGTCAAGGTCAAGTGTGATGCAGTGTGCCAGTGGCCAGAAAACTCTGAGAAATGAGGCAATTTGGCCATGGGCCCAGGGCTCAGCCGCTGGTGCTCTTTTATTTAACACCAGGAAGGTCCATTTCAATCATTTATACTGGCTACCCCATACATCAGACAGGCTGTAGACTCACGGCAAGGGATTTCTGCCCAGACCTTCCTCTTGTACCATCAGAGGGCCTGCGCTGAGTCTGGTATCCTACCCCAGAACTGCCACCATCAGTGTGACAGCCTGAATTCAGACCCTGCATGGAAGGGTGACAAGGTCAGGGCTTAAACAGGGGCATGTGAGGCAACAGGAATCGGAGTTCGGTGGAGAGAAAGCTTTGAGGGGTACCTCTTGCTTCCTGCCCCGTGATCTTCTCCTCTCCTATCTGCCCCTCAGTTATACATGTCTAGGGGACCTGTGAAAGTGCCTGCCTCTAAAAGGCAGTATTTCACAGTCTGCCTTCTAGTGTATTTTAGTAACTCAAGACTGATGATGAAGCTGTTCCATGGGACCAGCCAGCCCCTGGACCACAGGCTCACAGTGTGGTGATCGTACCTGGAAGAGCACTGTCCAACAGTGCTTCCTGACCTTCTTAGTGCTGATTGAAAGTTGGTATTTGCTGGAGAGACCCAAACCCAAGCAACAGCTTGGGCCAAATGGACTGTAAAGCATATCTGGATCTTGACTGGAAGCATTTCTCCTACAACCAGTCCATGGGATGATGGAAACCCATCCTTAGTGGCCGCATCCTACTTGTGCTAACAGAAGAGGCACAGAGACAGCAGTCCCTTTGGAGACAGAGAGGGACATCATTGGCAGGGATGCAGCAGGGCTTTCACTGACCTCGATTTCTGTTGTCTTTGCAGCGGTGAATCCGGAGCAGGGAAGACAGAAAGCACAAAACTGATCCTGCAGTTCCTGGCAGCCATCAGCGGTCAGCACTCCTGGATTGAGCAGCAGGTCCTGGAGGCAAATCCTATCTTGGAAGGTGAGGCCTCAGATGACAGAGGCATTTTTTTTGTTGCTGTCAAAAAAAAAAAAATCAGATTCAGGAACCACAAAGTATTGCCAAGTGTAAGTCACTTTGTTTTATTTTGAGTTTCAAAAAGTGACAAAATTCTTAAAAATATCAAAAGCAACAATGTAAACATTTGTAAATGGCATAATTGGTTTCCTTCCATCCAAATTTATTTCTCACAAGACAAATATTCTCTGATTTGGGCTCTCAAATTTTCCATTAATATTTTTGACAACTGTTGTTGAAAGCAACATATTTCAGCTGACTTGAAAATTTTTATTCATTTAAAATTGAAAAATGTGGGGTTTCCACTTAAATCAGTACTTTTCCCAAAAAAATTTCAAGACAGAAACCTGAATTTTACCTAATTCTCTGCATAGTCAGGGATTTTAAAAATGCTGATCACCAAATACACAAAGCTCTCTTGAAAAATCTCACCACGTCTTCCAGGGCTGGAATTATAACTGTATGCAGAGCACCAATATCCTGTAAATGCTGCATTCAACTAAGTAATTTTTTGGTTTATTTCATCATAGTTGCAAAATCCTATTCCTATTCTTTTTTTGCAGAACATGAGATTAATTTGATCAGAGCTTCACAGACTAAACGTCTTGTGCTGGCAATGCATAATAGCAAACCCCACCTTTTCCTTCCAAGATCAGCAAACAGCAGCAGAATGCAGAAAAAGAATAAAGGCAAGAAAGAACCAGATAACGAGAATCAGCTCATGGCCCTAATAGGTTCATTGGCAAGCTGTTACTGTGATCAGCCCCACTGTTTTAATTGGATGTCTGTAAATTAAACAGGTGATCTGACCCTCTGGCCCCAATGTGATGCCAGACAGACCTTTTACACTTATGCAGAAAAACAGCATTTTCCTTAAAGAATAATATCATTTTTACCTCCCCTGCTCCTCACAGAGAGCAGTGTTTTGCTTGGTAAATAGCCCCCCAGGAATCAATGGAAATGTGAATACCTTAACTGCTTTCCATGAATAATGTTAGCAGAGCAGACAAGAAAGTCTCTGGCTGAACTTTCCTTCTCCGTGCTCCGTTGGAGCTTCCCTCAATTATGGCATAAAGATGCAACGAGGTTCTCAGGACATCGCAGGGCTGCCTGACCGCTGGCGTTGTAAAGCGTCATGGTGCACGGCATGCACACAAGGTGTTTTTGAACGTGCGCTTCATCACTGCTAGGATTGAGGGGAGGAAAGACTGTATTTCAAATGCATCTCCATCACCTGCCAGCAATCCTGGAGCCAGGGTGTGCTGGCCAAGGTGCTCATGCTAGCGGTCTACACCCACATGGACCCCCATGGATGGACATGGGTACCTTTCTCTGCACAGTCTGTTTGCAGGGCAAAGCTTGCCTCTGGAGGTTGGCTTAGTCCCTCTGTATTTCCCTAAAGTACGAGCTCTTTCCTTTCCCTCTCCGTCACCAAATCACTCACCACAACTCTGTCATTTCCGCCACAGAGTCACCTCGCACACTGCAGTATCCTCCTGCCAGCCTTGCTCAACTCTCATGTATTTCATTGGCTACTGCCAAAATCCTGCTGTCCTAGCCTTTCTTCCTGGATAAGGTCACTCTGTTCCCATGCTTCCTTCTCTGTGCTCCTCTCTTTATTTCCGAGGACAGTCATCTGCGGTATATCCTGTTTCCCTGCACTGGGATGAAATTGAGCTGGCCAAACTTAAGGGAAAGATTTAGGGCTGATTTTACCCTCTCAGCCACCCTCGTTTAATTATTTTTTTTGCCCATGAGACCAGAGCCATGATCGTCCCGGCATCAGGTCCTCTCTAACCCACTGCAATTCTTCCCCACAGCTTTCGGGAATGCAAAGACCATCCGTAATGACAACTCCAGCCGATTCGGGAAATACATCGACATCCACTTCAACAAAAGGGGAGCCATCGAGGGGGCGAAGATTGAGCAGTACCTGCTGGAGAAGTCCCGGGTCTGCAGGCAGGTAAGACAATGTATCTGCAAGGTGCAGGAGTAGGCACTCGGTCAGTCCACCTTTGCAATGCCATTCTCCTCGCAGAGCTGACACTTGCTCTTCTACTGCAGGCCCAGGACGAGAGGAATTACCACGTGTTTTACTGCATGCTGAGAGGAATGACAATGGAGCAGAAGAAGAAGCTGGGTCTTGGGAAAGCCACGGACTACAACTACCTTGCGATGGTGAGAGTACAGCGAAGCAGAGGTTTGGTGAGGTGATGTGGTGAAAGCTTCTTAGCAAGGGAGAGAGAAGTGAGAGGTGCTTTCTCCACAACCCAAGAGTTGCTTTCCTGGTTATGACCTTCCCAAGCCTTAGCCACAGGGTTTGTGGGACTTCTTTGTCCCACCACCGCAAGCCTCACAGTCTTCGTGCAAACCCTTAACCCCTGTGTACAAGACATGTTATTTCCACTCTTCCTGTGGAGCAGGACACACACTGGGATGGTTTTGGTGTTTGGTGCCCAGACCACTTGTTTGGAAATAACTGGGGTGTTAGATATGACCCGATGCTCTTGCAGCAGTGATGGACGGGGAGGAGTGCATGGCTGGATGGCACATTCTCAGCAGCATACGGTGCTGAGCTGTTTCTGCTCCACGTGTCTGACAGAGCCAGCAATCTCCAGCCCCACTCCCTATATACCAGTGTTGCAATCCAGAGGAGCTGGTAGAAGCAGGTGTAAATAAGACTTTATTAATTAAGGCCCATCATTAGCAAGGCTGGCACCCAGTTTTCTAGATGGACTTTCTAGATAGCAGTCTGGCATGTTTCCTTCTCACTCTTTGTCCCCATCTCAGGGAGCTTTTTCTCCTCTGCTGATTGCAGCCAGACACAGGGTAACTGAGGACAGCAGGGTAAGTGCAGGTCACAAGGCTGAGCACCGAATCATAGCATACACCAAAGGGCAGAGCCAGATCCACAGGTTCAACATCATCTTTTGCTTATTCATCCCTTAAGTAAAATGGCTGCTGATTTAGGGGGAAGCCCTGGATAGTTTAGGGTTACACCTGTCCATGCGAGATGTTCTCTGCTTTTCCCCATGCACTGTGCAACCTCTTTGCCTCCCCAGGGTAACTGTACAACCTGCGATGGCAGAGATGATAGCAAGGAGTACGCCAATATCCGCTCTGCAATGAAGGTCCTTATGTTCACCGACACGGAGAACTGGGAGATCTCCAAGCTGCTGGCTGCCATACTGCACATGGGGAACCTGCAGTATGAAGGTAAAAGGACAAAATACAGCGTTGTGGTCCGGCATGTTTTTACTCCTTATTCTGCATGGTGAGAGGGAGCCAAGCTCAGGGATGGAGGGCTGTATCCAGACCACCTGCCATGGTGCCATGCCAGGGACTCAGGTACTTACAGTGGTGTGTCAGGATAATAGAGGAATAAGTCGACCTGTCCACTCTGCCAGACTCTGGTATGCTCAGTGACATCCACCTTTCCTGAATTTAGGGAGGTTGAAAATGGCCACAGGCCATTCAGTAGACTCAGGTTTTGCAAGGACAGACTAATAGAGCGTTTGACAAGTGCCTGTGTGATTGGATATGCTTTTGTAAAGGTACCAAACCGCTCTGCTGTCAGAAATGACACGGTGATTTAAAAAGCCTATTTGGAAGACAGAAGCTTAAAGCACTTACCTGCTGGAAATGTGTTTACCCCATCAGTCATTTAAGGTGGCTAGCAGAGCAGAGTACAGGTCCTTTGCAGCCAGCAGCAGGACTCCAGCAGCCGCATGAACTTTTCTCTCCCTTCTGATGGCCAGATGTTGCCTGGCCATCACGTGGAGCCAGTGGAGAAGGACCTTTCCCCTCACCCCACCTACCTTCTGCAGAGCCGCATCCCTTGCTGACGACTTTCCCTCTGCCTTGCTTCCCCCAGCTCGGACCTATGACAACCTGGATGCTTGCGAGGTTGTTCAGTCGGCGTCACTAATCACTGCAGCATCGTTGCTGGAGGTCAGTGGCTCTGCAGTGTTGCTGTACTCTTTCTGGCTTGTTCCCTTATTTCTACTATTGTGGCAAAGCTTCATCTGAGCCAGGGTGTCCTTGCACCACCAGCTCTAGGAGGCTGGAGAGGCCTGGGTAAGCCGTACTTTGCCCTGCCCCGGCAGCGTGAAGGTGGATGTCTGTATCTGAGCTGGCTATCTGAGCTCCCCTTCACACCAGTGGAGAGAAACAGACACTTTGGTGGCACATCATCCTAAAAAGGACATCCAAAATAGCTCAGGCCCTGAAACAGAGTGTTTCCCTCAATGATGTGAAGGGAGTTCATTACAGTAGCTGAGACAGAGATATCCCTTATACTGTGCGTATCTGAAGTGAGGTGAGACCCTCACCCAACCCATCCATGCAGTGGCTGGAGCATTCTTCAGTGGCCTTCCTCGCAGGTAACAGGACTCCCTCAGGGACACCATCTCATCTCTACAGGCACCACTGGTCCCAGAGTGTGGTCCACAGCTGTTGCAGGCTGTTTTCATGTACTTTAGGGGGTGAAAAAATGGCTTGATCTCAGAAGTGTGAAAAGGGGTCAAGGGCAGGCACCACTGGTCCCAGAGTGTGGTCCACAGCTGTTGCAGGCTGTTTTCATGTACTTTAGGGGGTGAACATTTCTCTGGCTTGATCTCAGAAGTGTGAAAAGAGGTCAAGGGGATGCAAAGCTACATTCATGCTGGTAGGATACAGCTTTGCAGACTTTCCTTTTTCATCTTCTCTCCCCACACCTCGTTAACATCTTGCACTAAGTCACAAGAACACTTTCCATAGTAACACAGTGTATAAAAGTGATAATTACTCTCTCTGAAAACGCCAGTGACATCATTTGAGATATCTGCCCTATACAGCTAAGAAAAGTCACTTACCTCCAGCCATGGGGGGACTGCACTTTTCCTCTCTGGCCATGCACATTCAAGCCAGTAGCCCAGGCCATTGTAAGGACACCCTGTGTTATAAAGACAGCAGCTGTGTTTGGTGGTGTCTTTGCCAGGTTGACCCTCAGGACGTGATGAACTGCCTTACCAGCCGCACTATAATAACCAGGGGTGAGACTGTTTCCACCCCTCTCAGCATGGAACAAGCGCTGGATGTGAGGGATGCTTTTGTAAAGGTAAGTCTTAGGTCATTCCTCTCTGCTCCTGTTTATAAGCTGAAGAAATCTGCCACTTCTGAGACCAGACCATCCACTGCACACTGCACATCTCACTTGATGCCTGTCTGAGCTCAGATCAGCAGATAGCCTTGAAACTATGTTCTTATTGGGATGCACAAAGAGTTGAGGTGGAAGGAGTCTAGATAGCCTGGTCTTTGGGGATTTGCAATCTGGACTTGAGACTGTCTATACTCAAAAGGTGACCTATGGAAGGAGCCAGCATTCTGAAATGACTTCACTTCAACTTCAGGAAAACATCCCGGCTTGAGCCCCAGGGTTAGATACTCAGCTGCTATAAATCAGAGCAGCTCTATCAACACCTGTAACACCCACACCTGAATGTCAGGATTTTGGCATGTCTGCAGCAGTAAATAAAGCCAAATGTCACGGGAATAGGGATAGAGCTGTTCAGTAGCCATCAGAGCACTTAGGGTATCACTCAAAGCTCTGGGGTGATGAAGGTTGATGGGATGGATGTTCATCACTGCTATGCTGTTTGCAGCCCCATGTGAGGTTGCAAAACCAGCATCGGTGGCATACTTTGGCCAACTTGGCCCCCCCACTCTATCTGTGGGGACCTGGTAGATCAAGCTAGCTGGTTTGACACCTAACTAGTCTGCAAATCCAGACAGTGACTTCTCTAGTGGTGATGGACCTTGGAATCAGGCTCCCCTCCTGATAGTACTGCTGTAGCTTATACAAAAGAAATTAATAACACTGTAAAACATGAAGTTCTGGAATTATTGAAGCAGCAATAGCTGCTTCATTAAATCAGCAAACTGTTCAGCCAGTTCTGCAACATTTAAGTTAGCACCTTGTCCAAGTGAGATGTCCTTGGCTTGCCTAGCAGTGTATCATGGCTCTGCTGATCTGTAGAGAGAGACATTTAGAAACCAAAGAAAGGACTATCTGGCTTTAGAGCAAGCCCATAGATCAAAAAATTAGGGATTTTGCTTTCAGTTGTCTTTTATCTAGGCTTTCAGGTCCATTTTCCTTGATCTACATCATGGCTCTTGAAGCTTTAAACCATGCCAAGAGTCTGGCATAAATGTTGGTGACCATGTCCTCAGAAACTGTCCAGTTGCTGGCCATGCTTTAGGGAGCCTGTGCCATCTGAATGGTGCTGCAGACTAGCAGAGTGAACTGCTAACCTGTCTCACTGAGCTCCAACTTTGTGATGTTGCAGGGAATTTATGGGCGGCTTTTTGTGTGGATCGTGGAGAAGATCAATGCTGCAATTTACAGACCTCCTTCCCAGGAACTCAAAAGTGTCAGGAGGTCCATTGGCCTCCTTGACATCTTTGGCTTTGAGAACTTCACTGTGAACAGGTACGGAGCCTGCAAAAGGAGAACCAGGTCTTAACCCTCCTTCACCACCCCAAGTTCAAGGTCTTGTAGTCCTTTCACCTCTCCTGAGATGTACAGGACTGAACTGGATGAAGCTTTTTTCTATATGAGAGATTATCAGAACTAATCACTTCTATGTTGCAGTAGACAACATATTTCCTTTAGTCGTTCAAGTATTGGCCACGTAGTAGCCGTAGGAGATAACCTCCAGCTGATTGGCTTAGGCTACACGCGTCTAATGGCTATAACATTGTTTTGGGGTAGAAAAACTGATTATCTGAACCGATAAGGAAATTCTCAGCCAGCAGCAACCTTAGTGAGTGGTTCATGAGGTCTGATAGTATAGCTTCAAGCATGGAGAGAGATGGGGAAAGACAGAGCATGGTGGATCTAAAGTGGCCTTTCCTTGATCTTCCCTCCACAGTTTTGAGCAGCTTTGCATTAACTTTGCAAATGAGAACCTGCAGCAGTTCTTCGTGCGTCACGTCTTCAAACTAGAGCAAGAAGAGTACAACCTGGAGAACATCAACTGGCAGCACATTGAGTTCACTGATAACCAGGATGCCTTGGACATGATTGCCATCAAACCCATGAACATCATCTCCCTCATTGACGAGGAGAGCAAGTTCCCCAAGGTGTGTTTTGTGCTCAGCCCTGCTTTTTACCCCCTTTGCACTTCGCATGCTGGCACCCTGTGAGAGAGCTGATCAGCCCCAAACACGCATTCACCAGTGGGCTGCTTATTCATAGCTTTTATTGCTCTGTCACATTTTCTTCCATGAGTACCACAAGCATGCTTAAAGCAAGTTGCCATTTCTGGTGGAAGAATATGACTGCAAGAGGCTCAAGAATAGCCTTTGACAAAGTTTAAGAGAATACTGCATTTGGAGCATTATCTTGAATATATCACAACTTACAGCGATATTTAATCAATTTCTTTCCTTTCTGCATTTGAGATATGCCCTCCAACACATCTCTTCTCAACATAAATACACATTGTCACCTGAGACAAAAAAGAACTGCACTATTGATTGGAAAATTATCTTAATGGAACAAACATCAGATCTTTTCCTGCATGCACAGGGTACAGATGCCACCATGTTACACAAGCTGAACTCCCAGCACAAGCTTAACACCAACTATATTCCTCCGAAGAACAACTATGAAACCCAATTCGGTATTAACCACTTTGCTGGAATTGTGTACTACGAAACAAAAGGTATGGGGCAGCTCCTGGGGCACTGCAGGTGTGAGGGGATGCTTGGGGGAAGATGAGCTGCTGCTGCGTCGGAGCAGAGCAGGATGGTAGCCCATAGTAGTGTCAGTGTACTCCTTTTCTGGCTGCAATGACTTGGCCCTTCAGTGGTGTCCATGAGATGCAGATGTTGGTGCTCTTTCACTCATGTGTGCCCATGACAGAATTGCAGTGCTTTGCACCATGTGCATCCCTGATCCAGTCTCAAGATGTGCCTCTGTCTTCCTTCCCTTGGTCCCCCTTTCTCTGCCTGCTCATTACCCCCATTACTTCCCCAAGAAGAGCCGGTAGTCCAGCAACGCAGAAGCTGCTTGCAGGGCACATCCTGGCCATGTTGCACTGTGTCATCTATCTATGTATTGTCCCATTATTCTTCTAGGTTTCTTGGAGAAAAACAGGGACACGCTGCATGGAGACATCATTCAGCTGGTGCATTCCTCAAAAAACAAATTCATTAAGCAGATCTTCCAAGCAGACGTGGCAATGGTAATGCCAGAGAGAGAAAATCTTCATTCACGGGGGAGGTTTCCTGGAAGGGGAAGAAGATTTGCAAAGAGTTTTATTGCTCTGATGCTGTTTGGGGTGTTTCAAACCTGTTAGTGTCACCCAACAATCAGAAAGCATTCATGTGGTGTCACGGGTACATCCATGCTCACACCCCCAGTTCACTGCATTCAGTTCATCAAATATTATTTTGTGGTGATTGCTCCTCTCCTAATTGTGTAGGGATGGGAACAATAAGGTTTGTGATTGTAGAAATCTGAGAGAGAAAGAGCTAGCTCCTCCAGTTCAGTAGTCCAGATCTCTGTATAATAGCATGAGAAGCGAAAACCAAATACTTGTAGACCAGAGCAGAGCAAAGGGACAATCTGGCTGTTCCTTAAGCACTGCAGCAGGACTGGGAGGGACCAGCCAACAGTTCTGTTTTACTGTTAGGACAGCCTAGAGAGGGGACACCAGCTATGAAAGCTGAACTTTGTACCTCTCCTTTCCAGATCCCAGTCCTCTGGGAGGGTATGTGCTTGTTCCGTGCTCAGTGTGGGGTAAGATCACGTGCACTGAAGCTTTGGAGAAAGTCACAGTTGCAGCCTTAACTCTTCCCACCACGTGTGAGCATTTATCACTGGGATACCAGCTTAAATGCTGAGATTAGTGACTATTTCACCATTAATAACACAAATATATGATGTTTTCTTGAGTAAGTTGAACATCTGCATCTCCCTACTAAGACATCATCAGCCCTGCTCACAAAATTAAAGGAGAAACAGTTTTAAAATATCAGCCTTGCAGAACCTGAAAGTCTACACAGATTTGTCACTATGGCCAAATCCTCCAGTCTTTTCCTCCAGTCGTTCCCGAGGCAGAGCCACAGGACTGCAGAGGCTTTGGGGATAAAGTTTTCCAAAGCAGCCAAGTTTTTTTCAGAAGTCAGAGTCCTGTTTCCAAATGCCAGCCAATGCCACTGATGGTCCAAGGGACTTAGGGACTTTCAGGAGTGCCAAAGAGATTTAAGTGCTGAATTTCTTTGCCTGCTAAGGGAAAGAAATGTTTAAATTTCCAAGAAATTTCTTTAAATAGGATACACTCACTTTTGCAAGCCTTTTTCATAACCTTTAGCCACTCAGTTTTGCTCCTGCTGACATGAATGAGCAATATCTTTTTGACTTCATTAGGAACAAGATAGCGTTTATCAGCCCCAATTAAGCTATCAATTGGCATGATGTTCCCAGTGGGTTCAGAGTTATCCCCAGATGTGGATACTTGAACTAGATGCTAACTCCCTTAGCATCAGTGCTGCCATTTATTTTGCTTTTCATTGCTTGTTCCTCACTGCTTTTTATTTTCGGTGTAAGCTTTGCAGTTCACTTTGGAAATGATTTCTTGCTTCTTTGGACAGAGCAGAGATATACTCTGGGGAATCAGAGAGAGGGAGCTCTCAGCTTTACGCAGTCATGCAGACTTCTTCATGGGAACACTTACCAAGCATCCTTAAAAGATGCTGGAAGTACCTGACAGCAAAATCGAGATTTTCACCTGGGCATTGTCGAGGACCTGAGAACTGAGACCTTTTAAAGCATCAGAGCACTTTTTTTGAAATAAACCTTTTGTTTTATAGTTCCATTAAACATCTTCAGAATCTGTCCCGAGTGGTGGTCCCTGTGCTTTGATACTTTAATGATCTCTGCTTTTCTTTTTTGATTGAGAGATTTGTAACCTGACTGGTGTGGAACTGGAAGTGTACCAGCTCCCCTAACCATCTGCAGTGTTAGTGCAGGTCAATTAAATTTACTATCTTCCCTTAAAAAGATACGAGTGGCTGCTCTGCTAAGGGCTAAATCAAATAATGAGGCGTTTTGCTCAACAGCTTCCAACCTTTGGTCCTCAGGAGCTTATTGATGAGTGAAAAGCATGTCCATATCTGCTTTACATTCAGTCTTTCAAATGGGATCTTTATATACCAGAAACTTAAGAAAGCCACAAATCAGAAAAGTTTGAAAACGAGGCAAGAGTATATATTTGAATACTGTAGTAACTCTTTGGTCCCTGAAAGACCTAATATTTGTGCACAACAAAACCTGTGTGGTGAACTGGGTATTGCTGGAGCACATGGGGCTGTGAAGCCTGATTTATGCATGCCCACCACGGAGGAGGTCTGTCTGCGTGTGTTTGCTGAATCAGAACATTGCTTTGAGCAGTGCCAGGTGAAATGGAGGATTCAGTGGGAATTGTACACTGTTCCTCTGAGGAATCAGACAGTACAGTCTGACAGCGCTGCTTAGTTGAGGAACAAGTAGGAGGAGCAATGGGGGATGGAAAACCATGAAGGGAAAACAAATAGGGGGTGTTCCCCTTGGCAAAAAATTTCAATTCTGTAGAAACTATCGGATTAGTTGGTTTAAAATTAGGGAGGAAGGGAGAGATTTCTTTAGGATGTTTGCAAAAATTTGTTTTTCACTGGCATCTTCCCAACTGCTGTCTACTGAGACCAATGGTCACACGAGATCAGGGATGTGTGAGGAACAGGAGTGGGGGTGCCTGAAACTGGATAGATAGCAGTTGAGTTGAAAAGTTGTTTCCAAGAGGCAAGAGCTGGACAGTGGTGGTTCCCTCAGCTTCAGGGATGTGAACGTGGAGACGAAGGGGAAAAGCCAGGAGGGGGATAGACAAAAATCTAAGAATTAACACATTTTGTGAGATCTTTTAACAGCTGGACCTCCAAGACTAATAATGTCAGGGTCCCATTTCAGTTATTCCTTCTTTTCACTATTTGCTCTTCTCTGTCTCTGTTTTTTGTTGTTGTTTTTTTTTCACCTGTGCTTCATGTAGTTTCTCTGTGGCTATGCATCCAGCACATTTGGCCAGTCGCCCACACCCACACCAAAGGTAAACTGAATACATGAGTTCCTCTGTTGTATATTCACCTCTCCTTCATAAGGATTGTGCTTTGCTCTTGTCGGTTTATTCCTCTTCCTGCACTATCTATAGAGGATCCATTTCAAGTGACCAATGTGATGGACAGTATTTTCATGGCTTGTTGATTAGATGCAGATATATGACTGTGTCATTTACTTCTAGGATTCAAATCAGAAGAGCTTTGTAATGATGGGAATTCGGTTTGGATAAAATCAGAACCAGCCTGAGCCAAAGTTTGTTTGTTTGTTTGGTTTTTTTCCTGATATTTGAATCATTTTAATTAACTTCAGATGGATCATCTGTGGGATTTGGCTGTTGTTTATCATGGTGCCTCCATTGGCTTCAGTAGGACATTATTCCTCCATGCAACTGCAAATCTGGCCCTGTTTTGCCCTTTTTGGAGCCGGAAGCTGACGATTCATGTGCAAAGAGAGACTCCTAGGTTGCATTTCTGGGTCACTTGGAAATGCCATCATTCTCAGGGGAGGTTAGGTCTTGTTCAGAGGAGAACTCAAATCCAAGCCTTCAAAGATACAGTTAATATTGAACTTTGCAATGATCATCAAAACAGGCTCTTGGCACCTTTTTTAGGTCTTTTCTGCTGCATCTCATCTCCTGACTGGTTCTGATGGCTTCTCAAACCTTTTGGCTACATATTTGGCCACAGGGTAGCCTACTGTGTGCTAAAGGTTTTGTGACATTAGCTTTGTGACTCTGCTCACATTTCCACGACCATCTTTTCATAGCCAGAGGATTATGTTAGAGATGGACCTGACTTTCAAAACTGAGATCCTTGCATGGGGCTGAATTTCAACCTTCTTACCTCTGCAGTGTCTCAGGGTGTTTGGACTTGGAATTCCAATGAGGGGAGTCTGACCCAAAATGACCCAACAACATTCATTCCAGAGCTGGACTCCTTCCCCTTCATGACTAAAAAATGTTTGGATAGCAACATCTCACTGAGCCCTGCTCTAGAGTTATAGCAAAGGCACACGCCAAAAAAAAAAAAAAAAAAAATTCCTTCCTGAGTTAGGATATGGTGGAATTAGGCTCAGGAGATACAGAGAAATGGGAGAAATAACACTGATGATTTCTCTGAGTTCGGTTCTTGTCATAGTTGTTCTCATAATATAGCCTCAAGTTTTGTATGTTTTCTAATGAATAATAATTTGTATTTGTTAAGCACTGAGTCAAGGGTGGAACAGCCAAGTCAAAATAGATGTTCAAAATATATAAACATCAGAAAGTTTTATAAAATGAGGATTTAGTTCAAAATAGTTATATGTGGCACTGTTATGTAGATTATGCCAAATTGGCCTCTGAAGGCACTTTCCAGACTGCACAGCCTTTAGGAGAGAGACTGTCTCTTCACTATATGCCACCGCAGAACCTGCTGTGAGGGGGCCTCAGTGATCACCTGAAGCCACGCCAGTGACGTTTGATATAACAGAATAGTAAGCAACAAACATAATTGCTCTCAGACTTCAGAAAAAAGGCGGAGAAACAGCATGTCGTGTTGGTGTGGCCCAGATTAGTGACCTTATAATCCTAAAGAGACAGGAGGACAGTCCTTTGTCCAGAACCTTTCCCCAAAGTACTGCTGATGGTGCATGTTTCCCTCTCTTTCCCTAACTCACCTTAAGTAATTAATCTTTCTGCATTTCCACTGAAGCAGGTCACCATCTCCCTGGCAGACCTAGACCTGAGCACGGTGATCCTGGTGCACCATGCACCCTTCTCCTTAAAGTGGGAAGAGAAGGTGCAGAGGGATAGCAGGAGTAACTCCAACCATTCCTGGCTCAGTGACATTTCTCCTTGTACTTCCTTTTCTCCTTGCTTCTATTTAGTTGGTTTGGCTGTTACAAAGAAAAAAAGCCTGGTGATTGCCCTAGCTGGAACTCTGGGTCTGTATTAAGACCATCCTACTTAACATAACTTTGTGCCCACCTAAACCCACTGAATCCACAGGGTGCAGATAGGCTGTTATTACTTTCTCAGCCCTGGACACATGATAAGTACCTGAATGTGTCCAAGACACCAAAGGAAGGCATCTGAATTGGTCCCTAGAGAATTTACAGCTTCACAGAGATGCTGGGAAATGTTCTGATGCTCCAGCTGTGCCATTGGGGATCTCAAGCTGGGGGAACATCCTCTTGTGTCCTGTTGATGATGCTCTGCCTTGACTTCTGTCTTTATGTTACTGCAAACAGCCACACACATCCCTGTGCCTCTAAAGGCAGACTGGCTTGAGGTGGCAGAAAGAGGTGGTGTTGAAGCATGTTTGAATGTCATGCTGGTCTGCACATCTTTCTGAACTTCTCTTTTGAGACAGTGCTTCTCTGTAAATGATGTCATTCTCTTCTTTTTCATATTTATCTCTTCTGTTTTTTTTTTTTCCTTTGATGCTGAGCACAGGCTGAGAGATTACTCAGTGCCTCAATCTGGGCTATAGCACCTGTGAATCCTGCTCATTCTTCCCTGTGACACACAGGTGACATCCTCCTGTGTGCTAGACCCTGTATGGACACCAGTGAAGAGATAGTCTGTGTCCCAAAGATGCTACAGTCTCAGAGTTTGAAAGCTAAAACATGTCTGGCCAGGAGAAAAGAATGTGTTCAGCTCTTTCTGCTTCAGGCTATGGGGACTAGGTCTGTTTTGAGCTAAAAAATGTTCCTCCTCTGCAGTAAAACCTGTATTTTCAGTGCCTCGTTAGTCTGTGTTGGCAGGCTGCTCCACTCATTTTTTTTGTGCCATTTTGTTAGAATAAGGGAAGAGGTGTGATCCTCCCCATGCTGGCGTTGAGGTGAGGTGGGAGGAACCACAATGACTTTGGTGGCATCACCTTGTCCCTGCAGGAGGCTAATACAAAGCACTCACCTGAGGTTTCATTGTGTAGCTGAGAGCCTGGTTAGTGCCCACCATTGAGAAGGGTCTGTGGACGCATATCAGCCCCAGGAAGCATGTGAACGGCTGGGATGGTGCAGTCTTGACAGAAGAAGCCCAGACCGCTCTGCCAATTTAGATAGGAAGATAAGCTGTATTCTGGCCACTGTCCCTTCCCTCCAGCCTCTTGCAGCAAAAAGCTCTCAAGTGTAAGACCAGAGGTGGCACCACTGCTTTTTAGCAGAGCTGGATGCATGCAAGGAAGAAATGCAAGGTGTCAGAAACCTAGAGAGGCAGGTCTTGCTGTCTGGGAGCAAACCACTCATGCATTCCCTTGTAGACGCTTGTACAAAGTCTTGCACCCTTCCCACCACCACGGCTGAAAAATAACGTCTCCCAGTCGAGCACAAATTGACAAACCTGGCTAACATACAGTTGCTTCCAACTTCCAGCCCTGCTCCTGCATCTGTTGCTGCCTCTAACCCCTTTCGCCATCCTTTCACATTGCACAAAGTCTACCCCTTGCACATAATTAGCAAAGTGATAAGAAAACATTAATCAAAGCTATCCAAACCAGGATTCTTGCTGAAACAGCCTATTTCTCATGAAATCTGTGACAGAATGTGAGCACCAGACTACAGTGCTCTGCAGGTAGCAGCTGCATCCATTAATTACTCTAGATTTGTTAATAGTTTGTCCTTTGGGGGAGGACTTTGCTGGGAAAGATCACTGAAAGCCCTCTGCCAAGCTCTCCTGGACAAGCAGGCCAGGTTTTTCTGGTGTGTGCATGAGCTGGGTTTTCTCTTGTTGGAATTCCATGATGACTTTCTGTTTGTGTTGATTGGGTTTGTCTCATCATCACATCCAACCTGAGCTGTACAAATTCCCTGCCAATGGCAGGGGGGTTGGACTAGATGATCTTTGAAGTCCCTTCCAACCCAAACCATTCGTGATTCTATGAAATTCCTCAGTTTTGGGGGGGTAGGGATGTTATCTGACAGGTTATTAGTGCTATACTATGAAGCACACATTTTAGCAAAAGTAGAAATAAAACTCACTACCTTGCAAAACAGAGCAGCAAGGCCAGTGCAAGTGGAGACTTTGTGATTCCACCCATGGCTTGACGACCTGCAAAGAAGAGGATGTTTGGAGGAAACGTGCATTAAAATCCTGCTGAAACCCTCCCTTTGGGAAATCCCTGGCCATCAGGTCATGTCACAGTTTGCCCTATTTTTGATTTGGAAGGAGTTGCATCCTGGTGCCCAATTCTTCCTCCAACCCACCAGCAGTACTCACTGCCCCACAGAGGCTCACTGAACACCAGACCCTTCGAGTCACACAGCACCACTGTGGCTGATGTGTAATGAGCTCAGGTCGTAGTGACTGACACATAAAATGAGCTGGGGGCTTCATTTCGTTTGGAGCTGGTTGAACAAGGTTCTCCCAGGGCAGCGAGAAGGGGCCGTAAAGGGAAACCACTCCATTCTCCTTTAGAAACACTTGCCCCAAAGTGGAGATTGGATTATTAATTTAACCAAGGGAGCTAAAACAAGCGAAATATACTCAAAAACATCCTGATTCACCCTAAATACCCACCTCATTTTTGTCTAGTTAATATTCTTTTCCAAACACAATTCAAATCTTCCCTGTGGTACAGCCTGAGGAATATAGACCTTACCAGCAGTTTCTGGAGCTGTTGCAGTCACCCCGCAGTCAATGTGCCCCTCGCTTGTTTTTCACCCTACGTGGGTCTCTGGTCCTATACCTCAGGGAGCAGGAGAGGCTCAGCCTGACATGAGGAACCACAGTAGAGGGTTGGCATGTCCATGCTGCAATGCATGGCGACAGGGAAGCCCAAGCCATTCCCAAGGAGCATCCCTGGGCAAATGCATCACCCCAAGCTGCAATACAGAGATTTTTGATGGCCCAGAAGGGGCTGTTTGCTCTCACAGGCAGATCTTCCTCATGACTCTGCATAGGGCAGTTGGGATTGCCAGTCACGCAGGGAGGTTTTAGCAGGAGAAATTAAATTATGGCACTTTTCCTCTCTGGGTAGAGGCTTATTGAGCAGGTTGCCAGAGTCTGGCCATTGCAAGCTCTGCCCTGCCCCTCTCCTGCTGCAACGCTCAACCACCTCTGGCCCTGATCCCTCCTCCAGCCCCGGCTGTCACAGGAGGTTCCCGGGGACGGAGCCGGAGGGGAAAGGCGCTGTTATCCTTTCATTTCCTGAGCTCACTCTGCTGCGGTTTTGCAGGGAGCGGAGACGAGGAAGCGCTCGCCGACGCTCAGCAGCCAGTTCAAGCGGTCCCTGGAGCTGTTGATGAGGACTCTCAGTGTGTGCCAGCCCTTTTTTGTCCGCTGCATCAAGCCCAATGAGTACAAGAAGCCCATGGTAAGTCCTGCTTTTCTCTCCCCGTTGCTTTTTGTACAGGAAGGCCTTGCAGGGTCACTCTGCCCTGGAGCCAATGGCAAAATCTGGGAGTTGATGGAGCTAGGATTGGCCCTGGGTGCTTAGAAAACCAACCTGCAGTCCTTTCTGCAAGCAAGGGAGTCACCAAAGGGTTGGCAAAATTGGGCACTTTTTTGCTATCCAACAGCACCCCAAAACTTCTTGCAGATGGGAGTTCCTGCCCCTGCCTTTCTTCCCAAGGGCAACCTCAAGGAATTCACCCTGCAGCCCTTTCTCCTATAGGAAATGCCTCTGAATTTCCATAGGGGTTAGGTGCCTCCCTCACAGAGCCTTAGGCTGAGCTGTAGGACCCTGGGTTCAATCCTATTGCAGGGCTCAATGTTTCCTAAAAGTGATCCCCTTCCCATGGGTGTTTTCTACAAAATCTTTGCTTCCAGGGAATCTCACTGTTTCACCCCCATTAGATCCTTTCAAATGTTTTTTTTCTTTTAGCACCAATTGTGAAAGCACAATTCTAAAAGCAGAGAAAAAAAGAGGCAAAATAACACAGAGGAAAGGTGAGAAGAATTATTTTGTTCTGATTCCCAGAGAGTTGCTTCAAAAGCAATGAACACTCTGGGGACAAACTTTAAGAAGCAAATGTAAGGGAAGGAGATGGCTGTAAATCCTGCTGACCACAAACAGCTCATGGAGAGGACTCCAAGTTTTGCAGCAAAAGGTCGACGATAAGGCAGATGTTGAACATCCCGATCCCACTGTCAGCACCTTGCAGGATTGGACCCTGGTGCTGTTAGCAATCACTGTTAGCTGCTCACCACTCTTAATAGTGATACTGCTTGGGGAGGAAGAGCTTTATTCAATAATAATTTCAGCTATTTGTTTCTGTGAGTCATTTTGGCCATGCCTTTGTACTTCAGGAGTGGTTAATCTAGCCAGACCTGGAGCTTTGTCTAAAGTCAGTGTCTGTTAGCAAAGCTCAACTGAGTGCAAAAAAGCATAAAATACTGAAATTCAGAGCTGTTAGGTACAAGCAGTGGTTTTTTGCAAATTATTTTTGCTGTTTGGTGAACCTAATATGATGCAGGGCAAAAGGTTTGGTGGCTTTCTCAGAGCAGTTTACTGTGCCCTTATCCTGGCTTTGGTGAGCATGAAAAGGCACCTAACAGCATGTTAATGGAAAACTTTGGGTTAACATTTAACACTACGTCAGATTTGAGATTATCATCTGAGTTGAGATCAAACGAAGAACATGGGTGATGTTGAAAAATAGATGTACATCCTGAACTGATGTTAACAAATTATTCCCGGTTGCCTCAATGACTTTGAGCTGCTTTTATGCCTGGATGTCTGGGATTCGGTCTGGCGTTTTGTGCCCTGCATAGCAAGTCTGTATTTCATCAGCTCTTGCAAGTGCTAGGCCAGAAGTCTCTGCCAAACCCATTTATCCACAAAACTTTCAGTGGGACATAAAAACAGCTGTAAATTTGAAAGAATTAAGCAAAGAGAAATTAATCTCCCCTTTAAGGTAATGAGCTAACAGCGATTCAGGGACTGTAGTGCTATAAGGTATGAAATGTGATTTCTTGCTAAATTTATTTTTGGCCTTGGTTTAATTATACAAAGGGGGGAAAAATCCCAGATAATGGTACACAGAGCTGTGCAGGGTGAGTACAAAAGAGAACATTTTCTGGGAGTTCATTTTCTGTCCCTGACTTTGAAGGAAAGTGTACTGATAGTGATAGGAAATGGGATAGTGGGAAGTGAAAGGTCAGTGGAAAGTCCTGACTGTTACTTTATGTTATTTTAAAACTTTGCTTCCTCCTAAAATGTGCTTTGCGGAGAGGAAAAAAATAAATTGTTTGTATGAGGATGCTGGCTGGAGTTCTCTGGGTCTGTACCTCATGCCATGCTGCTGTTTCTGACCATTGCTCTGTTCTGGTTAGTCTGAGAGAAATGCATGGGATGAATTAGGTAACAAACCATGCAAAGAAAGTCAAAACTGCCTCCAGCAGTCTGTGTAACACGAGTGCCTCATCAGACCTTGATGCCAGGAAGCTCACAGTTTCCCATATGCAATGACCCTGCCCTGCAGACTCTGGAGGGCTGTTTGCAGGCCCACAACTCCTCACATACCCTTCTGCTTCATAGTGGGGGAAGACAGAGTAACACACACCTCTCCTCTGCACCGTTCTTGTCCCCACTCCCCAATACCCACTGTAGATAAGGACAGCTTGAGACCAAATCTGGATGATGCTACTTTCTGCCTTTTCCTTGCTTATCTTTTGTCTTCTCCTGGGATCAGAATCTCTTATGTTACTCCAGCCCTTTCATGGTTAAGTGGTTGCTATGAGCTAGTCAAAAAGCTCTCTCCAAGGATGGGGAGATAGGTATGTCCATAATGCAGATCTGCCTGTCCCAGGAGATACATCTGGGATACAGAGATAGCTGAGATCCAGGTACACTCCCATCTCTCCTCCTTCAGCTCAGAAGATGCTCACATCTGTACATGCACAGATGCTCACATTTTAGACAGCTGAAGGGAGGGCAGGTGCATAACACCCTGGCAGTAACTCTTTTGGCCCAGGCTAGGGTTTACTGTTCCGACTCTCTATGGTGCACCAGCACCATACCACGTCTGCCTTTATTTTACACTAGAGTTGAACAGTTTTTGGATGCTCCCAGCAGACAACGTCAGGCTGCAAGAGGGTGCACTCAGGGACTCCAGGATCCTCCTCAATGCACTAAAGCACTGAGACAACAGCAGATTTTCCTGAACCTCCCTTTCCTTCAGCAGATCTTCCCATCTAGCAGCACCACTCACTATGCACCCAGAGGTGCCCAAACCAAGGGCAAGCAGCCAGGTTTATTAGCAAACATCTGCAAGGACTGGGTTACCTAAGTCTGCTCTCTGGCCTTGAAACTGTCCGTTGCTTGTCAGGAGCAGTCATGGACACTGATCTGAGATTTATCCTTTCCCTAAAACCCTCAGCTGGTATCAGTTCTGACCTGTTCATTTTAAGCTCCTTGGATGTCCTCCTGGGTACAGGGTGGTTTCATGATAACAGACTTATCTCAGGGCCTCAGCATTTCCAAGGCTGCACTCTTTTTTTATGTGACTTTGAGGTGTCACCTACCTGAAGATCAACTGATATGGGCACACTAAGACCTTTGAGTGACTGAGCCTTCACTGATATGGTCCTCTGCTTCCTCTGCCTACAAAAGAGTGCTGCCCTGCCCGTACAGGAGTGCTGTGATTGTGCCAGTAAAGCTCAGTGCGGTGGTCAGAAGTTAATGACCATGAGTGGTCATTGTGAGGGTGACTGTACGGTTTGACCCTCGTAGATGCAGCACTGCTGCCCATTTTCCCAAGGTAATGTTCATTGTTGCATCATGCTCTCCAGTTCTCTCAGTCCTTTGTGTAATGTGTAGGACACATCCAGTCTTGCAAGCAGGAATTAAAGAAACAGAGTGAGTCAAACACACTCAGCAGTTCATAGGATCAGGCTCATGACAGCCAACAGTCCTGCAGCCTTGGGTCCACCAAGCGAAGGGTTTGGGTGGATGCCTGACTTGGCTGCCCCACACATCATCAGAGTTACCACTCTCTTCTGGCCAATCCACATCAAGACGTGCAATTAAACCACCGTGTCCTGTAACCTTCCCAGCTGTTTGACCGGGAGCTGTGTGTCCGTCAGCTGAGGTACTCAGGGATGATGGAGACTATCCGGATCCGCCGAGCTGGCTACCCCATCCGCTACACATTTGTGGAGTTTGTGGACCGATACCGGGTGCTCATGCCTGGAGTGAAACCAGCATACAAGCAGGTGAGTATCTTCTTCCGTGGGTAGTGATTGGTCTCCAGAAATATTTATGGGGTGCGCATCCTCTCCAAAAGCAATTATGCAACATTTGATCCCCAGATGTTACAGTCGTGCTCTGGGCTTTCCAAGCGAAGGCAAAATGGTTACAGGGCTGGCAGAGATAGGTAGCAATGTTCAGCCTGTCCCTCTCGCTCACCTTAAATGCGGTGACAGTAAAGCCCTGGGAACCTCATTAGCAGAAAGCTGCTAGAATTGGGACCAGAAAAGGTCCCCACTGGGCTTGGGAGGACCGATGGGTTAAGGCTGGTCCTGGTGAATCCCACCACCTCTTCTTACCAGGGCGACCTGCGTGGTACATGCCAGCGCATTGCTGAAGTGGTGCTCGGGAAGGATGATGACTGGCAGATCGGCAAGACAAAGATATTTCTGAAGGTAGGTGGCTCTCCATGTACCCCCTGCCATCTGGGACCCGTGCCTGTGAAAGAGGTCTCCTACCACCCCCTTTTCATCACCAGACATGACCCTTTCCCATGGTCTCTGGGCCGGTGTGGCAGTGGGTAGAACCCGGGCCAAGGCAGGATATTTGGGGCCAGTTTAGGAAGTGTTGGGCAGGAAGAAGTCCTGACACTCTGCCAGCCCTGATGCAGGCATGTACCCGTACAAATGCAGGAATACTCACAGTGCACAGCCTTTTCCCTCCAGGGCTGAGCCACTCAACCTCATCTCCTGCCTTCACCCAAAAGGCACAGCACCTGGAGGGATGTCCATGCAAAGACCTGCAGAGAGAGGGACCAAGAGCACAGCAGGCTCGTTTGCTTTCATCATGTCCTTGCAAGGCCCAAGATGTGCCTACAGCCTCCCTGTCTGCATCATTCCAGCTCACACGGAGCAGCCCAACGTTGCAGGTCTCCTGCAGCGCCATTCACACTCATCTATCCTTACAAACTCATTCCTGTGTTGCTCTGGGAAGATGAGGCTGAGCTGGCCAGGAACCAAGCTGGAAGAAAAGGCTTCTCTTGAGCAAAAATCTTAGCAGTAAACTCTGACTGCTTATATCTAAATTCACCCCAACCCCATCACGAACACCCCCATCTCTTCCCTAGAAGCTATTCCCACTAGTCGCTCTTTCCAGAGCCTGTTATCAAGATCTCACAGCTGTCAGGGCAGGAAACGGAGAAATCAGGAGGCCCCAAGGGGCTGCATAAGGTCGAGCAAAGCAGGAAACGTGTAGAGCTGCCTCTGCTGCACCCAGCGTGCAGGACTCAGCGTGCTGTCACCGGGAAAGAAAGATGAGTTACAAACAGCATGGGAGGAATCAATAGGAAGCTTAGACTGATGCAACTGAAAGCCTCAGGGCAAGGAAATTTAGTGGTTTTGGGAGCTATTTTGTCCTTAAAGTGTGGAGGCATTGCAGCCTTGGCTGGAGGGAGCGATGGGACTCAGGCAGCCTGGAGTTGTTTCCAAACCTCTCTAGCGCTCCCAGGAACTGCTCCCATGGCTGATGGCACTTGCAGGAAGCTCTGTGTGGAAGGGAAACATAATTTGATTGTTTTCAGACTCTAAAGTATTGCATATGCAGTTTCTGAATGCTCTGGTTCATTTGGGAGCGAAGGCAGTAGATCACTAGGGTTTATGTTAGGATTTCCCCAGTGAGTAGGTGGGGTGATACTTGGGATGTAAACTGTCCCAAGAGTTTACTTGGGACGTCTTCTCTGGGGAAGGACCTTATACCACCCCTCCTGCCACATGTCAGGCAGATGGAGAGCTTCAGACATGGGTGCTGTGTTGTTTCCTCCCACAGGACCATCACGACATGCTGCTGGAGATTGAGAGAGACAAGGCCATCACAGACAAAGTCATCCTCATCCAGAAGGTGGTCCGTGGGTTTAAAGACAGGTAAGTGTGAGCCCCACTGCCAGATAGGAGGTGGACTATGTGGGATGCTTCACCCAGCAAGCAGCTCCTGGGGATGCATTACCTAGTGCTCATCTGACCTGTCCTGCCTGCAGCTGGGGAGAAGGGAGCCCTGGTGCGTTGGCACTCAGATGCAACAAGTATTGGAGGAAAAGAGTAGGAAAGGAAAACTGTATTATCTGCCTCAAACATGGACAGAATAGGACCTTCTGTCCCTGTTTAGTGCTGGCTTCGGGGAAACTGATGTTTGTTATGGCAATACAGCAGTGGGACTGAGTCTGCTGAAGGCAACACTAAGCTTCCAGTCTATGGGGATCCCCACCAGACTGCAATGGGATCATTGGGTTGTCCATTGTGACTAACCTTTCTCTACCCAAAACACAAGGGGTTCAGAACTCTTCCCTTTGCAACCCCGTTGCCAGACTTGGGAGGAGAACAGGTAGACCACAAGGAGCTTATGGCACAGTTGTGGAAGAAGAGGGGGAGCCACAGCCAAGGACAAGCTTCACCGACAGAGGAGAGACAGTTCTTGGGGCTTTGTGCTCTTTGAGTGTCCGAGCCATGGCTGTGACTCAGGTTGTGCCTTGGGTTTTGCAGAAAACCCAAGTAATCCTTCCCGCAGTAATCCTAGCAAGATCCCAAAGTCCTTCCAACACAGTTGTCCCCAAGGTGTCTACAGGTTGCATCAGACCAGGCTACAAGGGATGGGAGGAACAGATAGGCGTGACAAGGTGGTGTTGCTGAAGTTTGCTATTGATATAAGATTCTACCTGGGTGAGATAGAGTCTGTTCTCAGACGAAGCAGGGAGAGCAGGCAGGGAAGAGATTTCAGATGAGAAAGGAAGGTGCAGCAGGGTGGGAGGAGGGGACCATTCTCAGCATCTCCTGCTCTGCCCATTCCCATAACCTGGCAGATTCTGCCTGCGAAGACCTATCAGAGAGAGCCTCTACAGGTCTTTTTTATGAAAGCAAGGAGGTCTGGGGGAGGAGACATTTTCAGGCCAAAATGCAATGTTTACTCCACCTGGCTGCTCAGTTTCCAATCTCCAAAGAATGAGGCCCAGGAGATAACTTGCTGCCAAACCGCAGAGGCAAGTGACTGAAATGCCTTTGCAGGTCCAATTTCCTGAAAGTGAGAAATTCAGTCCTGATGATTCAGAGATACTGGCGCGGACATAACTGCAGGAAGAACTACGGTGCTGTAAGTACGGGTGTGCTTCCCTACACCTCTGCCTTACTGTCTCTTTCAGCTGGGACATACATAAGAGTTTCCTGGCTCAAAATGCCCCACTGAGTGTAGGAGGCGATGGGATTGGCTTTTATCAGCTGTAGTGACAAATGGAGGTTTGCTCTTGCTGCATTGCCTTCTCACTGAAAACAACATCTAACCACCTTCTAGCTGTCCTTTTCCCTGTGAGTTAGATGTCCATTGCACAAACTGGTCACTTGGAGTTTTAAAAGTCTTCCTAGTTTCCAGGTGACTGAAAACTCAAGAGCAGCTTCCTCTGAAAAACAGACTCCATCTCCAGGTAGGACTGTATCTGGGTTTCTCCTCAACCCAGTCATGGCCCTCTTCTGTCCCTATCCCGGCTGACTCTGACCCAACTGCGGGTCATTTGGGAAGTGTGTTGGGGTCTAAAGTATCTCAATATCATCCTCCAGGCCTGTGACTTGATAGGAATAGTGACTTCCAGGCTGATCAGGATGCTGCCTCCTGCCATGAAACAGCACCTTTGCTGTCAGGAAGGAGGTCTGCAGATGCTGGACTTCCATGGGAGCAACCCTCATACCTTGTGGCTACCTTGAGATGACCAACCAGACCTCCTGAGACATCTCAAAGGCAGAAACTCTGTAGGACTCAGTGAAGAAGAAACTGCCTTTGTCCTTCCTGGGCTTTGAATCAGTGCAGCAGCAGGAGGGCTTAATTTCTCCACCCTCTTGGAGAACCTCCCTCCCAAAGTCTTGTCCCAGTGGGGGCTGATTTCAGTGGTTTTTATTTACAGCGGTGCAAGAAGTAGATTAGTGATGTAAATCTGCTTAGGATGGGCGAGTCCCTGGGCAGCGGGGTGGTTTCATCCTGCTCCCTCTTGCAGATGCGGATCGGCTTCCTGAGACTGCAGGCCCTTTACCGATCCCGCAAGCTCCACAAGCAGTACCACATGGCTCGGCGGCGGATCATCGAGTTTCAGGCACGATGCCGGGGCTACCTGGTCCGTAGGGCTTTCCGCCACCGCCTCTGGGCTGTCCTCACCATCCAGGCGTACGCTCGGGGCATGATCGCCCGAAGGTTGTATAAACGCCTCCGGGGGGAAGTAAGTACCATGGAGGAGACGTCGGTCATGGGAAATGGAGGTGGGGACAGGGGAAATAAACATGCTTCTGCATCCCATGCTTGCGGGATCAGTTTTTAAAGAGTAAAAAAGAATTTCAAAAATAAATACATGCCTATTCAGAGGGGGTCTTGTGTTTATTCCCTCAGTATCATCGACGCCTGGAAGCAGAGAAACTTCGGCTGGCGGAAGAGGAACGACTCCGAAAGGAGATGAGTGCCAAGAAAGCCAAAGAAGAAGCAGAAAAGAAGCACCAAGTACGTGGGAACTGATCTCTTTCTGGGGCTCTGTCTCTGTCCCCCAAAAACAGGGACTGTTTTTGCTCCTTTGAGAGGGAATGCCAAAAATATCTAAGGGATTTCTGCACTGCTTGAGCAGTTTGTATTTAATTCACTAAAGCACTCCGTGCTCTAACTAGTTTGAAGCTGCTCCAGAATTTCTGATCTGCTGCACAGGAA